AGATGAAAAATTAAAACAAAACTATCAATTTGTGGAAGGGTTGGTTATTAAAATATTGGCTTAGTTTTAGTTAATAACAAGTTTCCTCGGGCTTTACTTCTAATATTTGATGTAATGTGGAAAGAGGAAAATAAATCGTGAATGTTTTTAAATTGTGCAAGGCTTTTCATTGATCCCAACATATTGGTGTTAGGAAAGAAAATAATAAATCTTTCTTCGCCATGCACTAACAGAACAAAATAAACTACTAAAAGTTTGGGTATAGAAAATTCAATCGTAAATTATTTAAGAAATTAATTTTTCTTCATATGGAGTGAATAATGAAGAAAAAAGGAAATTATGGTTGAAAGTTTCTAAAGACTTTGTACAACCAAAAAGTTCATATTAAATTTAATTACGTTTAAGTTTTTTTGGAGAAATTAATTGAAAATTGACACTTTACATTCGTCAAGAATGAAGAGCAAAGTGTGAATATTTTTTCCAAAGAAAAAGGAATGAAATGAAAGAGAAAAGGGCAAGATTAAAAAAAAAAAAATACGTAAGCGGACATGTCAATAAATTAATGGAACACATTTCATACCAATTTTTTAAATGTCTTCCAGAAATTATTGTAGGTCTATAGCTTATGCGGACCCATACCATCTAATGTATTAATGACGTGGGTCTCACTGTAAGGCTTATAATGATTAGAAATATGTTCACTAAAAGTCCTAAAACTTATCATGAAAGTGCAATTGAGTTCTAAAACTTACAAAAAGTGTAATCAAGTCCTAAAACTTGTCAAGTTGATTCGATCGAGTCTTAAAGTTAACACCGTTAAACTAGGCTATCGGAAAATGCTGACGTGTATTTTTTTTTTAGACACGTGGCAATGATGTGGTGTCCAACAAGTGCCACATCAGAAAAAAATTAAAAACTAAAAATTAAATTAGATAAAAAAGCTAAAAGTTCAAAAAAAAAAGTTGAAGAGGCACAACTGGCGACTATGGCCAAGCCCTCGCCGTCGCCGGTGGCCCCCGCCACAACAGCCAGGAAGGGCTAGCGAAGGTCGCCTGGGCCTTCCCAAAGCCTGGCGACCCTTGCTGGCCCCGGGCCAGGCCCTGGTAAGGGCCTGCAAGCCCCGATATGGGGGAGGGTGCGACCCTCGCCCCATATTTGAGCGAGGGTCGCCGGCCCTAGCTTGGGTTGGGTGATGCTGGGCGAGGCCTCGCCGGCCTAACGTGAGGGTCACGCCCTCCCCCAGATTGGGGCTTGCAGGCCCTTGCCGGGGCCTCGCCCGGGGCCGGCGAGGGTCGTCGGGCTTCAGGAAGGCCCAGGCGACCTCCGCCGGCACTTCCCAGCGGTTATGGTGGCGGCCACCAGCGACGGCGAGGGCTTGGCCACAGCTACCGTGGGTCTTCTCCTTCTTTTTCTTCTTTTTTAATTTATTATTATTTAGTTTATTTTTAAAATTTAATTTAAATAAAATTTGAAAATTAAAATAAGCCACATAACTAAGAAAAAATATTAAAATAAACCACGTCAGCGTTTTCTATTAGTAAGTTTGACAGTGTTAACTTTAGAACTCAATTGAACCAATTTTAATAAGTTTTATGACTTGATTGCATTTTTTGCAAGTTGTAGAACTCAATTACACTTTCGTGACAAGTTATAGGACTTGTAGTGAACATATCCCTAATAATTAAGATGAGCTTGGTCTTTATGGTGTGTAGACCACGCAATATTTTTTTTCAAAATCCTCTTTGAAGCAAATCCACGCACACGTTGGTAAAAAGTAAGTATTCCATAGTTTTAAGTCTACGAGATCCAGCCAATCACATTTAAAAAAAAAATGCATGGACCCATAAAAATAAACACAAGCTCGCATACCAATTTTGCACCGTGATTATTTGTATCCATCACGTTACGCAAAAACTAAGTCCATACATTAGTTTTGCTAGTCAAAAGATCCTATCTTTACTAGCTTCCCTACCCCAACAACCCATGAATCTGACTTGGAAACTTCTCTTGGTAGCAACCGATGCCTTTCCTATCACGCTGCCCGATTTTGATCGGCCGAGATAGCTCCCTCCAAAACGTGGCTAATGCGCCATCGACACGGAGTCGTTGTTGTTCCGTCAATTACGCGCCGAGACCTTTTAGCCTGAGAGAATCCCAGTTTGTTGTGTATAAACATCCTTGAAACTTTAAAATTTGATGTGATCATATATATATATATATATATATATATATATATATATATATAAAAGCTGTCAATTCAGTCCTAAATCTATTGTACAGTGAACAATTCAGCTCTCAAATTCTCAATTTTGCTAATATAATTATAAATCTTTGACGATTTATCAATATAGTTCTTCCAGCCAAAATTAGCTCATTATCGCTGATGTGAATGCTGGTTGTCCTACATGACATGGCCGGCTTGGTATGGCCGACGCTGATGTTGACAATTTTTCCAAAATTGTTCACGTCAGTAATTTTGATTGGAAAAATTACATTGGCAAAATATCAAAAGGTTTAAAATAAATTGACAAAATTAAAAGTTTTATGACTGAATTAGCTACCGTATAATAAATTTAGGACTTTTTTAGTAGTTATCCTTAATATTGGCTCTTACGAGATAGTTTCCTCAAAACGTAGCTAATGCGCGATCGACTTGGAGTCATTGTTGTTCCGTCAATGACGTGTCGAGACCTTTTAGCCGAAGAGAATCCCAGTTTGTTGCACACTAACGTTCTAGAAACTTTGAGATTTGATGTGGTCATATATGTACAAGCAACCAATTTAGTCATAAACCTATTGTACGATGACCATTTAAATTTTCTAAATTTTTCAATTTTGTCAATATAATTCTAAACCTTTTAACGATTTGTCAATATAGTTCTTTTGGCCAAAATTGACAAAAAATCGTTAATGTGGACGCTGGCTGTCCTACTTGGCATGGACGACTTGGTATGGCTGATGCTGACGTAGACAATTTTTTCAAATTAAAAAAAATCTGAATTTTCTTTTTTCCTATTTTTCCCTTTTTTTCTTTCTTTTCTTTTTTTTATTTTCCTTCATTGGATTTTCCACCGGCGGGGCCCCGGCGATGGCCGGCAACGCCCCCGCCCATGGCCGCACAAGGGTCACCAGCTGTCGTTGGGGCTTCGACGACCCTGCTGCCCAAAAATCCGAAGGAGAAAAAAAAAAGAAAAAGGAAAAAATAAGAAATTTTGAAAAAAATTATTCACGTCATTAATTTTAGTCAGAAGGACTACATTGGCAAAATGTCAAAAGATTTAAAACTATTTGACATAATTAAAAATTTTATTACTGAATTAACAGTAGTACAATAAATTTATGACTTTTTTTAAATAATCATTCCTAATATTGATCTTACGAGATAATTTCCTCTATACGTAGCTTACGAGCTGTCGACTTGGAGTCTGTTAAATATGTCTTGAATTTTATGTTCTCGGTCCGGTTCAACACCCGACCCGACATATTTTTTGTGCGACCCGAAAATTGAGATTTAGTTCGCGACGCGGAGAGTTGGGCCGATAGGCCCAACTCGTAGCAAGTGAACAAATCTCTATGGCGGTCCGCCCGAGCTGGAGCAAGCGAACCAATGTCTTGGGGGGTTCGGGGGCTACGCCCCCGAGGAAAAATTTCGGGAGCACTATTTATACTGCGGCTAGGTTTTCTCATTGATGTAGAGAGAGAATTTTATTTTCAGAAAGTTTTGTAAGCCGTGAGCTTTTGTCGTTGTTTCAACTTCTGAAAACTGTACTCTCTTTGATTATAGTGGAATCTTGTCTTGCCTCGCCCGTGGGCGTAGATCACGTTGTGATCGAACCACGTAAATCCTCGTGTTCTATGTTTGCTTTTCCGCGTTTGCATCAACAGAGTCGTTGTTGTTCCGTCAGTTTCAAGCCAAGACTATTTTGCCAGGGAGAATCCCAGTTTGTCGTGCAGAGACGTTTTGGAAACGTTGAGAGGTGACGTGGTCATACACACTAGGGGAAGGGGAAGGGACAAACCAGAAGAACGATGACCTCAAAAGCATATTCCCAGCTTTCTCCCCACGACACGCCACTCCCATTCGTTTTTCTCGTGAATGATAATGGCCCATCATATGTTTGCTGAAGAAAAGTCCAAATCTGTCGACTTCTACCTCAGCATGAACAAGTGGGAGAGCTTGGAATGACTGGTCTACCACTTTCCAGGGCTATATTGAGTGTGTCGTGAAAATAATGCGGAAGATTAGCTGATGTTGCAATTCAAGTCTAATGCGAGAAGAAGGGATCACCAAAGAAATTAACGACCAATGATAATGACTTTGGAGATTTTTGTTGTTTAATCTTATTATCAGTACCTACCCTGGGCAAGAGTCAGTTATCAAGAAACCCACTATAAATGTGGAGAATACGGACTTTATAATAGCTCATTCACTCAAGCGTTTTATAGCACTAGATTACACCCAAAACAAATCCACAAGTCATAATGTCTTAAAAACAACTCACTTAGAAAATCCATAGAAAAAAAAAAAAACCTCACACTTCTCTTGTTTGGTTTAGTATATAAATTACCGAGTATAACTACATATATTAGGTAACCTACTTTAATCGGATTTCTTTTACAGGTTCAAACTCGGGACATGTTCTCAATAGAATAAGCTATATTTCTCCATCTTTTGTTGGAGGAAAATTGCTCAAATCACTCTTTTAATTGATGGGTTACAATCATGCTCCCCACCTGCATTTATGTTTAGTTAAAATTTCATGCATGGGATGCGCATAATCTATAACCCATTAATTAGAGGAGGAGGGATGCCCCAACCACGGATGGAGCATAATATGAATTGCTCGACATACTTTGACTTAAAGTCAAGCGGAAGCAACTCGCCACGCTCTCTTGGCTCTTCTCTATATAAATCCTAGCGAGGTTTCACTGATTAAGTAATAAGACAGAAGAATTGCATACCTCACGTAGTTAAACATTGGCAAATGGAGCTCCTGACAATGAAGAGAAAAAGGGACTCGTCAGACACCACAATGACGTTCCTTGCAAATGTTGGTGAGTCGTCGGGTTCTGAATTCGAGGTGTTCTTGAATTTTAGAGGCCCTGACACTCGCCTCAATTTCACCGATTGCCTCTATCACTCCCTAGATGGAGCCGGGATTCGTGTCTTTAGGGACAACGAGGAGATCCGAAAGGGCGAAGTAATTGGAGGTGAGCTTCTACGCGCAATTGAAACCTCCAAGATTTACGTGCCCATCTTCTCTAGAAGCTATGCGTCCAGTGCATGGTGTCTCCGCGAACTCGCAAGCATTGTAAAGTGCCAGAGGGAATCGAGTGGCAAAGTGATTTTGCCCATTTTCTATGACGTGGAACCTTCTGATGTCAAGCTCCGAACTGGACTCTACATCGATGCCCTAACAAGGCACGAGGCTAGTTTCGGCTACGACGAAGTGCAACGCTGGAAGGAGGCTCTAACGGAGGTCGCCAACATTAATGGTTGGGACTTGAGAGATAGCGGGTACGATCCATGAAAACATATTGCATGATCTTTAGACCATATAGATCAAGGTTTATTTAACGGTTGATATCTAAATCCTTTGACTAGACTCACATGATTTATGATTCGAATGGTCTTTGTCCATATTATATGTAGACCATGCGGCAACTTTTGAAGATTCCAGTTTCTAGGGTCATCGCTACGACTAGTAAAAAGAAATTATACAACTACTTGTTTTCTTCCAATCTCTTTTTTTCATTCCTAAACCGAGCCGCGCTATATTTATAATGATTGCGGCCTTTTCTTTTGCTACTGTGGCATGAATAATTGGACCCATCTTATGGTGATTCCCCACTGTCCAATTATTTTTAATAATTTCGACCAAAAAAATTATTTTTAATAACATCATGTTTACCAAAAGATAGCTTGTTAATTATGCACATACAGTTCTAACAGTAATTTTCTTAAATGTCCAATTTCGTTCTTCTTGTAAAGGACACTGGGGCTGCTCATAACTTTTCCAAAATATAGCTGCTTATGGTGGTCACTCGTATATTTGAAAGTCGATTTTCCAAGGGAAATCATTATCCACACATGTAGACATTATTGATTATCTACTAATCGGAAGTTATTTCCTTATGCAAAATTAATAACAATTCCACTCCTTTATATGATGCTATTCAATTGTGGATACGATCTAATCACATCAAGAGGACACCCGTAATCATTACTAAGATTAATAGTTGCTCTTCGTATGGAAAAGTACTAATCCCGCGGAAAGTTGCTGATATTAAGTTGCTTTCTAAGTTACTTTTTTTGTGTGATTGATTGGTAATTGTTATAAGGAATATAATTTTTACCCTAGATATCAGTAATTGGTAATTTTTTTAGCAACTTTCGTATTGTTACAAATATATAAATCAATACATAAGTAATTAATAATTTTCCCATCTGGTTATTAAGTCTTCTAAGAATAAATAACTTTCAATATATTGGTAGTTCTTTTAATTGCAACTCTCAGTATATTTTTTTGATAACTAACTTTTCTCCCCCGTAGCTACTAAATTTTCATACGGCATAGTAAGATCAATAATTAGTAACTACTTCACAAATAACTTCTCCCCCGTACCGACTTTTTATTTTATCATAAATTTTTGTATAAATGACCTATGAACAATAGATATGTGATCAAAAAAATATATTTTTAAATATATGTAAATTCCTTATTTCATATCATACTTAAAGTGAATTTCATTAGGCTATACATAATAGTACCATATTGTTTTCATTCATAAGAGTACGAAAGAATTTATTTTATTTTATTTTTTTCCTTACATACTAATGAAATAGAATGAATGGTATAATGGGTTATGTCAATTTTAATATTAGTTTTAGAATAAATTATCACTAACTTTTCAATTATGTCAAGCCATTTTAGGGATGTAGTAATTTTTTTTTGTCGAAAGGGATGTAGTAATTCAAATCCATATAGTTTGATAAATTACCTACATGCTGTTTTTATCTATCCCATTGATCGTTATATTGCGCTGCATTAAGGTTCTTCCTTTCTATTAAGGAAACTTGTTTGAGCATTAGTCGTTTAATTTATTATATATGAACTCATGCTAAGATTCTTAATATTGTGCTAAGCCATTTTTACAATCGATATGCACAACGCATAGAGTGCTATGCTACTGAATCAGAGGATATTTCAGATTCAATTTCTACATGCATGAACTTATTTCATTAGCCACAAGAGTAATCTATCTTTATAAGTACTATCCATCAATCGTATGACCCAAAAAAGTAGAAAACCAAATATTCAATTAAATACTTTTAGCTAAATGTTGCCTTTGTTTTTGTAATCGAATGAGAAGGTAAAAAAGAAACTGATCTCTATAAGTATTATCCACCATATGGTCCACAAATGTAGGAAACCGTATATTTAATTTAAATTATGGTTTTTTTTTCTATTTCCATAATGTAGTCTCTATATTATTAGTAATTTTTCATAACAAAATTGACTTCCAACTTATTAGCAGTGAGTATCCTCTTCACATAGCCAGACACTTCTAGATATTAAAGTAAAGATCATCTATCAAGTAATTAGAACAAGTATCTCTTCCAATATCGTGGTTACTAACTTTTCGTAAGAAAAATAACTTCCCACGAATTATCATACAATTAACTCTCTATCTAATAGATCATCAATCACTATAAGCAACATTCCACTGTAGTTAGTGACTTTTACAAGCTTCATCAAATTGGTAACTTTCCAGTATTGACGAACTTTTTTGTGGATAACAGTTATCATTTGTGCCTAGTAAACATCTCGACATATCAAATTTTAATGGCCACTAGTGTACGAAATTGTAAAAGAATGATCTACAATTTTCAGGAAGCACTAATATATTGTATATGCCTGGCCACAACATTTAAGCTTTTCTTTGTTTGAAATGTGGCAGTCAAGGTGAACTCATAAAGCATTTTACTAGTGAGGTTTCAAGCAAGCTACTGGGAAGAGATCGAATTGTGCCTAATCATCTGGTGGGAATAGATAATCATGTGGAAGCTGTGATGGACTTGTTAGGTGAAGACTCTCTGGATGTGCGGTTTGTCATAATCCACGGAATGGGTGGAATCGGCAAGACAACTCTTGCCAAAGTAGTTTTCAACCAAATCTCTTCTCAATTTCACAGTTGCAGCTTTCTATCTGATATCCGAGAGTTTTCGCGATGTGGTAAAATGGTGAAATTGCAAAAACGATTATTGTCCGACGTTCTCAAGTCTAAAGCTGTGAAAATTAATGATACCGACACCGGGATCAACATGATTAGAGAAAAATTCTGCTGCAGAAAAGTTTTGGTTGTTCTTGATGATGTGGATAAGAGAGACCAACTCTTGAAATTAGCCGAAAAGCGAGATTGGTTTGGCCCGGGAAGTAGAATCATCGTGACAACTAGGGACATCAGTTTTTTCCAAAATAATGGGGAAGGGCTGAAAGGTAATGACCCAATGCATCCCAAAGAGTTTCAACTCTATGAAATGGAGGAAATGCCGTTTCATTATGCTGTTCAGCTATTCAGTAAGCATGCGTTCAGAAGAGATGCTCCTCCACGCGACTACGATCGAATAGCCAGAGATATTGTGAAGACCACCGGCGGGCTTCCTTTGGCTCTTGTGGTTATTGGGTCCTCTCTTTACTGCAGAGGCGAAGAAGTATGGGACGATGCATTGGAAAAGCTAGAGAAAATGCCTCACAAAGAAGTTCAGGACATACTGATGATAAGTTATGACATGTTAGAATATGAGCAGAGAGAAATTTTTCTGGATATCGCATGTCACATGGCCGGTGAAGAAAGAAGTGACGCAGTTTGTATGTGGAAAACTTGTGAGTTTTTTCCCAACAGCGCCATTCCTGTCCTCGTTGAAATGTCATTGATAAAAATTACAAATGATCAGAAAATATGGATGCATGATCAGCTCAGAGATTTAGGGAGGGAGATTGTTCGGAGGGAGAGCATCCAACATCCTGGAAAGCGTAGTAGGTTGTGGTGTCCCACTGTAGCTACGAGTGTCATGCGAAGAAACGAGGTAAATTGCAAGTAAAGCCCTCTCATTTCATGAGCCATTTTCTTATCCTCCTCAAAGTTTTACGCTGATTGCTCTTTGATTTCCATTGTTAGGGAACAGAAAACATTGTAGCACTCAAACTTGGAGGAGATTCAAAATTGCATTGTATCACACGCGGAGAACTTTTAAGGCTGGTCAAGTTAAGGTTCCTCGAATTGGATGGAGGAAACTTTGTTGGGGACTTCCAGGATCTCCTCTCGGAGATAAGATGGCTTTCTTGGCATCATTGTCCTTTGGAGTTTCAAGGAACTAACTTCTCTCCGAGCAATCTAGTCGTCCTCAAAATTTCAAGAAGTGACGTCACAAATGATTGGGGTGGTTGGAGCCAAATCATGGTACATAAGATCATAAAACAAGCATGACTTAATTAAATTTACTTCGTTTCTTTAGTTTTGTGATTTGTTAGTTTCTGCTCATTCTGACATTAAGTATTTCTACAGGAAAAAAGTAGGTTAAAAGTTCTGAATCTCAGATGTTGCAGGAGCTTGACCAAGACCCCGGATTTCTCTACTTGCCTGACTTTGGAGAGACTGATTTTGAAGGATTGTGAAAGCTTGGTAGAAATCGACCCATCCATTGGTATGCTGCAGAACTTGAAACACTTGGAAATTAATGGGTGTAACGGTTTGAGGATGCTTGAAAGAGCTTCAACCGAGCAAAATCTATGCTCGTTACCCCAATTTTTGCCAAACTCACTGGGTAATCTGAAGTACCTATCGACCCTAAGAATGGAAAATATGGAACTTCTTGAGCTTCCAGAATCTATAGGAGATCTAACAGGTCTGCAATGTTTGTCTCTGAGTCACTCTTCTGTTATTGATCTTCCAAGCTCAATTGGGAAACTAAGGTCTCTAGTTGAGTTGACTTTGTCTCACACGAAAGTTACAGAATTACCCGAGTCGATCGGAGAGCTCAAGAGACTGGAGGTACTATTGATGCCAGGTTGTAAGTTAAGGAAGCTTCCTAAGGCAATAGGTATGTTGGAGAAGCTTAAAGAGTTGGTCGCTTATGATTGTGAACTTTTGGAGGGAGAAGTCCCGAGCGAAATCGGGGCAGTGTCATCTTTGAGAATCCTAGACTTGGGAGGGACTCGTATTTGCAAATTGCCAACATCTATCAATCAGCTTCATCAACTTGAGAGTCTGCATCTGTTTCCTTGCCATGAGCTTCCAAAGCTGCCAGAGCTTCCTGCAAATTTGAACACATTAAACTTTAAGTCCGCAACACTGGGAACGATTCCGAACGTCTCGAACCTGACCAATTTAGTCGCTCTAAGTTTATCTGATTATGGCCGTCCTAGATTTGTTGCACCTTCAAAAGAGTTCGGCCCACATCACGAACCGGATGCTAGTCAAACACCAGATTTGCGGTGGATTGGGAGGCTACGCAAGTTAAAGAGGTTGAAATTGGAACTTTCTGATGTGACCATGTTGCCTGCTGAGGTTAATTCCCTTACTGGGCTCCAACGACTCGACTTACCTTGGTCCACCTTTCTATCTCACACGCAGTATCCATCCAATCTTCAGAGGTTGAATCTCATCGGTTTTGAGTCCACGGTGGAATGGTCACGGGATCACAACTTCAAGAATTTGTCCAGCTTCGAGTTCTGCAGATCTAGTTTAACTGACATCCCGCTGAATAGGCTTGGACAATTTGAGAACCTTACTGAATTGTACGTGACGGACTGTCGACTTCTCGAGAGCTTGTCCAATATATCGAGCTTGAGAAAGCTCCGGCGTTTGTGGATTACAAATTGCCCGCGGTTAGTTGAGATTCGAGGCCTTGGCCAGTCGGGATCACTGGAGGATTTGCATATAGATGGTTGTGTCTCCTTAAGGGAGTTACCAGATCTGTCGAACTTACCAAACCTGATGACATTGGATTTCTCTGGTTGCAAATCTTTGGCGAATTTGCCTCCCGTGGCAAATGAGGAAGCATGCCGTGTGACTATTCATTCCTGCGGGATGCTACGTGATTTCGATGGCCCTTATCAGCTTCACTAGTATGAAGAGGGCAGACTCGGCTTTTGCAATATCGCATTGCCCATCTTGCTTCTAAATAGCTCAGGCTTCTTGACCAGCTGGCGAACCCAGAAAAGAGGGGGGGAAGAGAGACTTAACAGAAGCAACTTGTGTTCTTTGGTAAATTAGACTGTTTTTCTCCCTTATGTTCTCTTCTCTCTTTGCAAGTTTTTAGCAGAGATCAAGGAAAAATTGTCATTGAATTGATTCACGCAGTTCAAATTTGCTCGTATATAGCTTGTGAATCTGTATTCCAATATGTGTCATGCTCATCAGTTAAACATTCCTGTGGCTTTCTTATCTCGTTCAAGTGAAGGATGTTTACACACTCCATATGCTTTAAGCAGTGGTGATGTTATTGTAATAGGGTCATACTTTCTTCCATCTTTATGTTATTGTAGTCTTCATGTCCTGTGAAATTTGCTTAAAGCCAGGTTAGAATACACGTCTAAGTACATTCAACTCATAGATGATTGCTTTGATTCGTAAAAGACTTATATTATGAAAATAACAATGATTCTAGAGATATGGAGAAAGAACCACTCTTTAAGTACGGAGTAACCCAAGCAAACCATTTGTTTGCCAGTCACCAACAGATACTTTCTTGTCGAATATCTAATTCGATCCTATCAACGATGCAAGAAAAGTAATGGAAATTTGCACAACACAAGAATTTACGTGGTTCGCCCTAAACATATATAGCGAAACTCTACATGGCACAAATTACAAAATTGCCCACATAGCCTAAAATATTTAGCTTTTCCATATAACAGAATACAAGACATCATCCTCAACAATCTCCACCTTGGCTTGGATTCTGTAAAGCCACCTGTGAAAGAATATGAAATATAGATGTCTTCATCCCCGTACCTCCATAAGAGGTACACTCCCGCACTTATTGAGTGCGTCCCTCACCTTCAACAGCGAGTTATATTAATTGAGCCCAAACAGGACCCAAACTTCTCAATAGTGACTGGCTTGGTAAAACAATCTGCAGGATTGCTATTCATGTGAATCTTCCGCAAGTGAATGCTGCCATCTGACACAAGCTCCCTGATTTTGTGAAACTTCACATCTATATGCTTTGTTCTTGCATGAAATACTTGATTCTTGGCGAGATGTATGGCACTCTGACTGTCACAATGTAACACCGCACCTCCTTGCTCTAAACCCAACTCACGAACCAACCTAGTCAACCAGAGCCCTTCCTTAGCAGCTTCTATAACTGCCATGTACTCTGCTTCTGTAGTAGACAATGCAATTGTGGACTGGAGCATCGCCCTCCATGAGATAGGTCCACCAGCTAATGTGAAGACATATCCTGTAGTAGACCTCCTCCTGTCTAGGTCACCAGCAAAGTCTGAATCAACATATCCCGCTAACTCCTTCGAACCTCCGTCGCGACTGAACATAATACCCAAGTCTGCAGTCCCGCTCAGATATCTAAAGATCCACTTGACTGCATTCCAATGCTCCTTCCCTGGATTACTCATGTATCTACTAACAACACTGACTGCATGAGATAAATCTGGCCTGCTACACACCATAGTATACATGAGACTCCCAACTGCACTAGCATAAGGAACTCGAGTCATCTCCTCAATCTCCTCATGTTTTGTGGGGCATTGCTGTTCAGATAACCTGAAGTGGCTAGCTAATGGTGTCCTCACTGGTTTAGCCTTATTCATGTTGAAACGCTCAAGCACCTTTTCAACATACCTCTTTTGAGATACCCCGAATTTACCTGCACTTCTATCTCTATGAATTTCCATACCAAGGATCCTCTTAGCAGCATCAAGATCCTTCATCTCAAACTCATTATTCAACAAGGACTTTAAAGAGACAATATTATGCATATCCTTAGCAGCAATGAGCATGTCATCAACATAAAGCATCAAAAGAATAATCGAATTATCATCTGACACTTTAAAATAAACACAGCAATCATACCCACTTCTCGAATAGCCAATTTGCACCATAAAAGAGTCAAAACGCTTGTACCACTGTCTTGGAGATTGCTTAAGGCCATAAAGTGATTTCTTAAGCAGACAAACGTGGTCTTCCTTTCCTGGCACTTTGAACCCGTCAGGTTGCTCCATGAAAATCTGTTCCTCCAAGTCTCCATGAAGAAACGCCGTCTTCACATCAAGTTGCTCCAGCTCAAAATCAAACATGGCTACCAAGGCAAGTAGAACCCGAATGGAAGTGTGCTCTACTACTGGAGAGAATATTTCATTATAATCCACCCCTTCCTTATGTGCATACCCTTTAGCTACAAGTCTAGCCTTGTACCTTACCTGCTCATTCTCAGACACTGCCTCTTTCTTGCGAAAGATCCATTTACTCCCAATGATCTTTCGCCCTTTAGGTTTCTCCACAATCTTCCAAGTCCTGTTTTTCTGTAAGGATTCCATTTCTTCCATCATAGCTGACATCCATTTATCACTATCAGCATCAGATATCACATCCTGATAGGAAGATGGATCGCCTGTACCTACTGTGAGGGCATAAGCAACCATATCCTCAAACCCGTATCTCACAGGTGCTTTGTGAGTACGTTTTCCACTACCTTCTGCAATGGTGTAGGTATATTCTACTGTCTCCTGTGATTCTGGTGAGTTACTGGATGATTCCCTTCCTCCCGCTATTTCTGGTTCACCTGACTCCACCTGCACAGTAGATCCTTCTTCACTTCTGCCATCTGCATGTGAACTGTTATTTGCCTTCACCATGTCAGATTCATCAAAGACAACGTCCCTGCTAACCACGGTCTTCCGTGCATTAGGATCCCATAGCTTGAATCCTTTCACATCTTTCTCATAGCCAAGAAAGATACACTGTTTAGACTTTGAGTCTAACTTGGAACGATGTCCACTTTGTACATGAACATAGGCTGGACAACCAAACACTCTCAAACTAGAATAGTCAATTGGATTACCTGTCCATACCTCCTCAGGAACTCTGCATTCAATGGCTATAGATGGAGACCTGTTAATGAGATAGCATGCCATATTAACTGCTTCTGCCCAGAAACTTTTACTCAGCCCTGCATTCAGCCTCATACTCCGAGCCCTTTCCAAAAGTGTCCTCTTCATCCTCTCAGCTACACCGTTTTGCTGTGGTGTATCTGATGTTGTGAAGTGACGTGTGATCCCTTCAGCTTTACATAGTTCCAGGAATGGTGTGTACCTGTATTCCCCTCTATTGTCTGTTCTCAAGCACTTTAGCTTCTTTCCTGTCTGCCTTTCTACTTCAGCCTTCCACTCTTTGAATTTGGAGAAGACTTCGTTCTTCTGCTTCATGAAGTAGACCCCGACTTTCCTTGAGTAATCATCAATGAAGGTCACAAAATATTCGGCTCCACCTTTTGATTTGATCGGTGCAGGACCCCATACATCGCTGTGTACATAATCAAGTACATCCTTGCTCGTATGCTTCGCAGTTCTGAAACTAACCCTGCTCTGTTTCTCGAAAACGCAGTATTTGCAGAAGTTCAATTTGCAGCTTTTGACACCTTTTAACAGCCTCCTTTTATGAAGCTCCATCATACCCCTTTCACCCATATGCCGTAACCGCATATGCCACAGATGAGTGTCATCTGTATCGGACTCTGCAGCTGTAGTCACAGATGCTCCACCTGTTACTCATACTCCCTATGAGCCTGTATAAACTTCCAGTCAACTCTCCTTTCATGACAACCATAGCTCCCTTGATGACTTTGAGAACTCCACCTGCTGCTGCGTACTTGCACCCATTCACATCAAGCGCATCCAAAGATATCAAATTTTTCTTTAGATCTGGAACGTGTCTTACATCCACCAAAGTTCTGACTATACCATCAAACATTCTGATTTTAATAGTCCCTATTCCAATGGTTTTGCAAACCGCATTATTCCCCATTAGAACAGATCCGCCACTGTATGACCGGTATGAATCAAACCAATCCCTATTCGGGCACCTGTGATAAGAGCATCCAGAGTCTAAAATCCATGAATCAACGAACTGATTCCTACCTGATGATATAGAGAGAAGATCTCCATCATCACCGTCTGAGCTATCGGCCACACTTGCTTGATTAGAAGTTTTCTCGTGCTTCTTTAAGTCTTCCTTTCTCTTAAAACAATTTCTTTTCAGATGGCCTTCCTTCTTGCAATAATAACAAGAGAGTTTCGTTTTACCCCCTCTTGATTTCGATCGACCCTTATTCCCGAATCCCCGCTGGATTGTTCTTCCCCGTTCCTGCTCCTTGACTTTTCCGATGAGACCCTCACCCTGTGCCGTAGCACTGTTAACCCTCTTTCTCGTATCATTAGATAATAGGGCAGCAGTGACCTCATCTGTCTCAAGCGTCTCATTTCCATACAAGAGTGTCGTCACCAGATGATCATAAGATGCTGGTAGCGACGATAGCAGTAATAGGGCTTTGTCTTCATCTTCCATTGAAACCTCCAGACTTGCAAGTTTACTCAGAATCTGATTGAACGTGTTGATGTGTTCTAACAGGTCTGAGCCTTCCTCCATCTGTAGAGAGTATAACTGTTTTTTCAAAAACAGTTTGTTCGTTAGGGACTTGGTCATATAGATGCTCTCAAGTTTCGATCACACCTGCGAAGCCGACTTGAGATCCACCACATACTGCAGAACCTCATCAGATAGGTTCAATCGAATGGTGCTTACCGCCCTTTCCTCCATCTCCCCCCAATCTTCATCACTCGTTTCTGGTTTCTTCCCTTTCCCCAGCAGCACTTTCGACAGGCCCTGCTGAATCAGAAGATCCATCATTCTTCGTCGCCAGAGAGTGAAGTTGTTCTTTCCATTAAACCTCTCGATGTCGTATTTGACACTCGAACCCTTTCCTGCCATCTTGATAGCTTGCCGAACCAAGCTCTGATACCAATTGTCGAATATCTAATTCGATCCTATCAACGATGCAAGAAAAGTAATGAAAATTCGCACAATACAAGAATTTACGTGGTTCAGCATTTCTGATTCCACTTACGTTCAACAGCTGACTCCAAATCTCCTTAGAGAAAGGGCACTCAAACAACAAATGTTGTCCTGATTCTCGAGAAGAACCGCACAAAACACAAGACATTCCCATTTTTACTCAACCTACCAAAGGTTAATAATTTGTTATGGCCATCCACAACTTTGGCACATTTGGGTTCAACAGCTGACCGATTTCGAGCTCTCGAAATGGGTAAGAAGCACCCCAGAACAGGAACATGTGAGGCCAACACCAAGAACCAACCTTTAATAACAGAGGAGACTTCAGCATGAATTGGCCGGATGCCATTTATCGTGCGACGATAAAGTACTTCTGCCATCTCCAATCAAACATTTGACATGGGTTTCAAGAACAAGCAAATCTATAATATCTCCTCCCTATTCTTCCTTTCGAAAAGGGGAAACGAACATATATTAGTCTGCCTACATTAGCAATTGGCATCGAGTTTTGAAAAGGGAAAAGTGAAATCCAATTCAAGACTTTTTTTTATCCGGAATATGATGCTCGAATCATGCTTAGTCAATGAATGTCCTGTCAAGTAATCACCAAATAATATAACGTCGTCGTCGTCGCCTTCATGAAAAGAAAACAATAAATGTCGTTCCTCGTGGTTGGCCAGCCGTATGGCGGAACCAGGCCGCCGAGGAAACGCCTTCGCTTGTCAAACTCCCGATAAGATTTCCTTCGGTCTTTCCGCGCGATGTCACCCATTTTCCCGTGACTCTTCCTGCGAGTCCCCACCTTCGCTGTCTCACTCATACGCTGCCTCTTGCTCCGTTTCGTCCTATCTCCGATCAACGCCCTCGAACGCAACGATTCGGTGAAGAAGGAGAACGGGAGAGAACGGAGAACATGTCGGACGAGGAGGTGTACATCGGTTCGGTCGACCAAGGGACTACCAGTACGAGGTTTATCATCTACGATCGCAGCGCTCGGGCGATCGCGTCTCACCAGGTTGAGTTCACTCAGTTCTACCCAGAAGCCGGGTAATCTCTGTCATCCCATAAAAATTCGTTCTTTGATCATGTTGAGTTCAATGATAAAGCAGTGTCCTTTGTTCACATGAACGTGTTTTTTAATTGCTTTTGGCACTTTCTAATTCTGGGCTTGTCCATGTGCGAGATTTCTGGTCGCTTAGTACGAAGTTGCTTGATCTCACCGTTTCTGGAACGTAATCGGTTTGGTCTCACGCGACAAGTCTAGGCTCTGATTTGAGATATGACCGGATAAAGAACAAGATGGTCTTTTTTTCCGTCCAGTTTAATAGTGAAGCAACGGTTTCTTTTACAAGGTGGTGTTTTTAATATTGAGGAAGTGTTAGTTTGAATGTTTTTTCTGTTGGTAGATGGGTGGAGCATGATCCGATGGAGATGCTGGAGAGTGTCAAAGTGTGTATAGCCAAAGCGATCGACAAGGCAACAGCCAGTGGCTACAACGTGGATGGAGGATTGAAGGCCATCGGATTGACCAATCAGAGAGAGACCACTCTTGTTTGGAGCAAATCCACCGGTTGTCCTCTCTATAATGCCATTGTTTGGATGGATGCTCGTACCAGCTCCATCTGCAGGTTGGGCTGCTTGTGATCTTCATGTTTACATGTTTCAAATTTGGAGTTTGAGGCTTCTATTGTTGAGTGATTTGGCATCGTGTTGTAACGTCGCTAACCTGTCTTTTCCGTTGTAGACCTCATTGAAATTACTTCATAGTCTGATCCATTTTTTGTTTGGTGATCAATAACATTCATGTCGAAAATCTGGGGTTTGGTATGAACTGTAAATTAATGACAGGAAATTGGAGCAAGAATTACCAGGGGGAAGAACCCATTTTGTGGAGACTTGTGGTTTACCAATAAGCACATACTTCAGTGCAGTGAAGCTGCTGTGGTTGAAGGAAAATGTTGATGCTGTTAAAGAGGCGTTGCAGAAAGGCGATGCTTTGTTTGGAACTGTGGACACTTGGTTAATATGGAATCTGACTGGAGGCGTAGATGGGGGTGGCTTACACGTCACTGATGTCTCAAACGCATCGAGAACAATGCTCATGAATCTTAAAACACTAGACTGGGATCAGCCTACGCTGGATACATTGGGGATTCCTGCTGAAAGTCTTCCTAAAATCATAAGCAATTCTGAGGTGATAGGAGAAATTGCCAAAGGGTGGCCAATTCCTGGAGTTCCTATCTCTGGATGTCTCGGTGACCAACATGCTGCAATGCTTGGACAAGCCTGTCGGAAAGGTGAGGCCAAAAGCACTTATGGAACTGGTGCTTTCATACTTCTGAACACGGGTGAGGAGGTGATTCAATCAAAACATGGACTGTTAAGTACTCTGGCATTTAAGCTTGGGCCAGATGCTCCGACAAACTATGCCTTGGAGGGTTCAATTGCTATTGCCGGAGCTGCTGTTCAGTGGCTCAGAGACAGCCTTGGTATAATCAGTAGTGCCAGTGAGATCGAGGATTTGGCATCGAGTGTTGAGTCCACTGGCGGCGTCTACTTTGTGCCTGCTTTTAATGGCCTATTTGCTCCGTGGTGGCGCGATGATGCACGGGGGGTTTGTATTGGAATCACGAGGTTCACAAACAAGTCTCATATTGCTCGAGCCGTGCTTGAGAGCATGTGCTTTCAAGTCAAAGACGTGCTGGATTCAATGCACAAAGATGCCGGAGAAAAGGGCGAGGCTAAGAATGAGAAGGGGGAGTTTTTGCTTAGAGTGGATGGGGGTGCAACTGTCAACAACCTTTTGATGCAAATTCAGGTACGAGCTTCTCTCATCCTCAGTTTTTATTACTTTTTGAAGTAATACCACTATTGACTGATGTTAAGGTTCATTCTTACACTATAATGACCTCATAGTGCGCTATTTGTTTCTGCATACATTATGCTTGCAATCCTTAAGCGGTGATATTTTCGTACCCACTATTGGTATTGCCTTTTCTTGTCCGACTGAGGATGCATCTTTCTCTGGAGACAACCAAGTGCAAATGTTTCTTTTTACCCTCTAATGTCTTGGTAAAAACCAGTCAGATACAGGAAGAAATATATCATATTGTGCTTATATGTCTTCATTTGGTGCTGAATCAAGTCAGAAACATCGAAATCATTCTTTGTCAAGATTTAATACCCAATCCCATGCTTTATGTTTTATTCAACCAGAAACTGCATAAGAAAGTTTTGGAGCTTCCCCTGCACTGAACTATGTCAACCAATTACTAGTTAGGTGTAGGATCATAATTTTTATCGTTTTGGCTGGTGTTTTTTACAGGATAACATCTGAAGTCTGCAATCCACCTACAGTGATGTTATGATATGCTAATATATAATTGGAAGCTGTAGGTGCTTGACACAATACTTAGGGCAAGACCCTCAGTAAAGAAGAAAACAATGTTAATTTCCTGATTACGTAAAAATTTTCGTTGCTATTTTAAAACATAACGATGTAATCAATAGCTGTTCTTGTTATGAAGGCGGACCTGCTGGGAAACCCGGTGGTGAGACCTGCGGACATAGAGACAACAGCGCTTGGAGCAGCTTATGCCGCCGGATTGGCAGTCGGAATATGGACAGAGAATGACATCTTCGACTCCGGAGAAAGGGCGGAGAACGTGACGATCTTTCGCCCCAAGTGGGATGAAGGCCTGAGGAAGAAGAAGGTGGATTCTTGGTGCAAGGCTGTTTCTAGGACATTTGACTTGGCTGATCTGTGTCTCTTATGAGCGAAGTTGTTTCCAAGTGTACTGTGTGTTTATCCTTCTCTTTTCCTGATCTATTACTAGTCAAAGGGCTCTCTTGTTTCCTCTGCACTTAATAATATGAATTTTGACCTTTGTAAATATTCGTTTCTTTCTCCACGGAAGACTTGGTCCAAGACATGCTGAAAATGAGGCTCAGGGACCAAAAAGCTATGAAGTCATAATTTGAGGGAATAATTGGCATCACACCTATGCATTATTTGGGCTTTTCCTATACAGTGTGTTGTGATCAAGACTTATTACGACGTGCTTAATGGTTGGAAGATCCATTTCTTTCTCCTTTTAATTACGCAATATAGGTTTTGCGCGTGAAGAGAAAACCTGTTCCAAATAGGATATGAATCGATCAAAATCTTAGTATATTAAATCGATAACAGAAATCATCTGATCCAAATTATTAATGAACTGCGATTAAGGTGGGATACAAGATGATGACATTCCATGGAGATTTCCCTGACCCGACCATGACCAATTTTGACTGGGCCTGAGGTTCTAGGGGTCAAAATTCAGCAGGGCCTAAACAAAGCCTGTGAATTTTTTCTTGTTTCTGCAAGCTGGTCATGATAAGTCTCAGGTAAAAGCAATGCATGCGGCTGTGTCCTCTAAGGTCTCATTCTCACATGTTACCTTACTTTGAAGCATAAAGTAAGTCACATCTTTGTCACATGATAAGTCGCAACCTCTGTCACATTAACATAAAGGAGAAGTAAACGTATTTAGATTAATCTTTGGTAAACAAATTATGTGACTTTAGTTTTACACAAGTCACATCTCACCGTGGATACAAATAGTTATATTTCGTAGATATTTAATTAAATATTTAAATATAAGGTGGCTTGCGTTAAAAAAATTTAAAAAAAAAAGGTTGTGTACTATAAAATTCCCTGTTCTCTTTCCTCGTTGAAAGCGTGGATTTGAATCATTAGATTTGCATGTTTTATCAAAGGACACTCCAAGACGAGCATGGCTTGTATGCTCCACCTAGCGTGTGTAGAATAAATCATACGAGCGATGATTATTGAGGACCTCAAAAGTTCAAGATAACTTTACAATTAAGGAATTAAAAATCACTCATTTGAATCTCTCCAATTAGTTGTCAATTGTTTACGATTAAGCCATTTACACATGTCAAAAGCCCGAGTTTAATCGATTCTACGAGACTTGTAGAATGCTACATGATTCTCCAAGTAATCATATCTCCATTCTCGTCGTTATATATCTCTTGATTGTAAAAGGAAAAGTAATGCATTATAAAGAATAGAAAAAGAGAAATGCCGCCGAAGGTGACGAAGGTGACGAGACGATGCTCGTCACGGAATCCTAAGCAAGTGCCCAATTTCCTCTGAGCATTTCCTAAGAAATCATTACTTTTTCATCCCACTTTTCTCAAGGGGCAAAGAAAAAGGATTAAGTATATCGCAATAGTTCTTCCGCTCCTTTTCTCTTTTTGCCTTATCTTAAAGGCAAAATCATCACTTTTTAGGTATAAGTCCACTCGGGAATCAAACTCTTTTGTACAAAATTCTACAAGTCCACTCGGGAATCAAACCCTTTTGTGCAAAATTCTATCAAACGTATCTTTCCATTGTCTCGTAGCAAAAGTCACCCACAAATCAAAAAGAACGTGGCGGAATTCGAGGCACGTCTAGTCATACATAAATGTATTGGGCTTAACAATACTTAGCCTAGTTCTTTAATCAAAGATTAGTGCACTAATCAGGCCTCTTTGTCAGTTAAACCCCCACTCCAAAGTTCTTCTATTCTCATCACTAAGCACCAGTCCAATCCGCAATCATGTTGTCCTCCACCACACACCGCTCGCGATCGAGTGGTTTCCCTTTGGCCCTTCTTTCCCCCCTCGTTCTCACGGAATCACAAAGTTGGCGAACACGTTCTTGCGCACGCTTTTGACTCTTGGAGAGGAGAGAGAACCATGCGATTCAGCTACGCAGCAAATGGCTCTCGATGTTGTCGTGCGATCCGTGCGTTACAACGAGGGTCGTGTAGATTAATGCCTAAATAATGTTTCTTTGATTGGGTCGCTTTTGGTTCCGTAATGTTTGGTGCAACATAGATCAACGGTTCCCATTTTAATATTCGACCTGCCTTGTTCTTTCAATGTCTGAAAGGTACTTGATCGTTCTTGGTATTTGTCCTGCTCTTGAGAGAGAGAGAGAGAGAGAGAGAGAGAGAGATTATATGAAAGTAACTTTCCTTCCAAGTGCGGGCAAACTTAGTGATTAATTATAAGGCCGTGAATCGTGTTAGCCATTGATTTAATCTGATGCCTTTTGTACTTGGAAAATAGGATTGGTAAGTATGATGTAAAAGTGCTCTTGTCTGCATAGTTTTCATATCTTGATAGCTTTATGCAAACTGTACTATCATATCAGTAATCCAAGATGCGGGGGACTAAATAGAAAGAGAAATTATGGTCAAGAACTATAAGTGTCTTTCTCAAAAGTCTCGCAGGTCAATCGAGTGTCACGCGTATCTCCCAATCATCCTGAAGAATAGTTGGAGACAATTTGATCTCGCATCTTGAAAAATATAACATGTCAACGACTCTATGTTGATGCCTTGACTAAAACTTAATCAAAGAGGTGATTTAAACGCTGGTACACGGCACCGAAGCTTGATCTGGAATTAGGAAATGAGAAAATTGATATTTATCTCCTGATGTTTTATGTATGAAGAGTCAAAGGGATGGCCTATCAAATACAAATAGACATCCCAATAAAGTAAGAGCGACTAAACTTACCCCCCAATTTTCTCTCGCAAAGTTGCCATCACATGGCCTCAATCATTTGCTCATCATCCAATAACGTTTCAAAGTTATCAAAACTAAACAGACTTGCATGTCGCTGCAAGTTTATGTACTCAAGAAAATTCCATATTTGCAGCCAAGACATACTATCCAATTTGTAAGTTGTTTTATCCCAATCTCTCATGACATATGATTTTTTAATGTTTAAAGATGAAAAGTCATGGGATATTCTTTCTTCATTTTCGAGATATTCTTATTTTGACGGAAAATGACAAAAAGATGCTTGGGATAAGTCTAAGTGAACACATCCTCGATTGATGATGACTATTGGATGCAGCAAATTTTCATCAACATGTTCGAAAATTTACATATAACATTCTAAGTAGGGCTTCGAAGAAGACGAGTTTTTTCTTTCTTTTTCTTTTTTTTGTTTGCCGTGTAAGACTCCTGTGGTGGAAATGACGCTGAATTTGACCATAGTAAAAGAGGGCAATAATGAAAGCTGAGAGACCATGATCACCGCATTGACTTAATGAGCACAAAAACAAGACTTTAATGATCTCTCTTTTGTCTGCATTTCCTTCAGATGATCCCCCGCCATGCCCCGAGGGATTTGACTCATCATGTTCTTGAGTAAAAGACACAAAGCTGTTGTTTTCAAGTTAATGGATGCAAGCAAGGCGGCTTTGCACACTCCATGATTGATGGGATAGCGTCACGCATGGTCCATCACATTAAATTCCTTTTGCTTGACCCTCCACACCGTGTCTGTGAGGAAGAAAACAACAAGCAATGACATGGAAGATATGGAAGAAACCAGCAAGCGAGAGACGGAGAGAATCCATAAGCTTCACACAGGGCTAATGAAACCGAAGCATTTCAAGCAAAGCAATCTCAGGAAAAGGAAAGGAAGAGTGAAGAAAAGAAACTGTAAACGAACTGTGCCAAAGGAAAGACCTAAAAGAGGTCTTGACTTGAGACACCTTTCTCCCTCGAGTCAAAGTGCAATCCCGCACGCAAACACTTAGGGGGGAAAAAGGCGCATGCACAACGATTTCGCCCCCACATTCCAACCTCAATTTCCATGCGAGAAAGTCGTGAATCCATGGACGGAACTTCTCTATTCCCGTTTATGTCTCCATCATCTTAATGGTGCATCCATATGAACGCGGCTTATTTTGATAAGCGTTATCATCATCATATTATGTATACTTGCAGCTTTTGTTGAGATAATAATAGAGATATCATTTAATAATAAAATATTTTTTTATCCATCATCTATGGAATGAAATCTTTCGTTTTTTAATTATATCTCAATCCGTGTCATATGTATAAGATCTCAATACTTATCTATTTTGGTTTGATTGTCGCAACATCAATGCCACGTGTCATCTCCTAGGCAAAATGGCACCGACTAACCGATTAGTCATCCGACTGCATGACGATAAGGATATCAAGGGTCGATTTTAGAGGCATGTATTGCTTGTTCAGTACACTCCTAGGGCACACCAAAGAGTACTCTTGCAATGGGTGCATTTGAAAGAAGCCGATCAGTCGTCTTAAGGGTGAAATGTGAAATTGGAAGAGACGTAGGGACTGAAATAAAAGCTACAAACAGGCTTACAAACACATGTACAGGAGAAAGGCGGAGGCAGACACGGAATCGCAAGGTAAAAGCCACCTGCGCACAGTCTGACCCTCTGTGTCTGACCGGCCAGAGAACTCTGGCAACCGCATTACTCCCTTTTCCCACACGAGTCGCACACAAAGCGCTAAAGAAAAAACCAAGAACATACCGTGCAATTTTTCAACAATACCATACTTTGAAATTTACAGTCGAGTGTCATCATCACTGAAAAAATCACGTCGTACTATACTTTATATTCGATTGCAAATACTGCAGATGCAAGAAACAAACCATGTTTTTCGAGGTTTTAATGTATTGATCGCGACAGGAAATAACATTGTATGCTCTACGATGTCTTCTTGCAGGTTCTGTTCCAATTTCGATGCCCCGCTGACCCGGCAACTCCCTCGTCCTTCATTCATTGCTTGCTCATCCCTTCATTTATCAGACCCCTTTCCTGTCATTCAAATTCAAACATTCAATTTCGCTGCCTGCAAAAAAGCTCAGCTCCATAAAATTAAAAAATAAAAAGGGTATATTTGCTAACATTAATTTATTGAATACAACTCTAATGTCATTGTCGCATGATGTTCTCTCTATCCTCTCATCTCTTCCCCCATATTTCTTGTCATTTCTTTTTTGAGATTATATTATTTATCATCATTAACTTCCTGTCCTTCCCATTATCCTTCTAGTTAAGTTGCGGGGGGCTTGTCAAGCTTAAGCTAACTTGGCCATCCCCAAAGCTACAAGATTTATCCCAAAAAAGCTTGGTTTAGTTAACAGAAAAATAATAGAAAATTGAGGGCCCCCCCCTCCCTATCATCCATCACGAAAGGTGAGGGAGATGAGTGTCGTGTTGATAGGTTAACTACACAATCATGGAAGGACAAAAGCTAAAAAGGGGTTGGCATGGAAAAGCTTCAAGCTCAAGAAGATCAGCTCATTTTCTTCCATGGCGTCTCCAACCCTACACATTTTAAATAATTTTGTAGCCCAAAGACAACAACACAGCATGGTAGTAGCCAAACTATTTATACCTTAAACCTCCCCCTTTTTCAGACCTCGCTCTTTTCAACCTCCTTGGCTTATTGTTAAGTGTGTGAAATTCTCTCTCTCTCTCTCTCAACCCAAGAATAAAAGGCATCCACAGTTCAACGCAAGAAAGAGGACGACATCTGCCTCCCGGTCTCTTTCTCTCTCTCTCTCTTCCACCCATGGCTTCGAACACCAACATGCAGAGCTACGGATCCGACCCGGCGTCGCCCCACACGACCTTCGTCCAGGCCGACCCGTCGAACTTCCGGGCCATAGTCCAGAAGCTGACCGGCGCTCCCGAGGACCCCTCCGCCCACAAGCTCCCCCTCACCCTCCCTTCGAGGCTCACCCCCAAACCGCCGCCGGCCGCGGCCGCCGCGACGTCCAGCTCCGACGTGGGGCTCCGGCGGCCCGCCTTCAAGCTCCACGAGCGGAGGCAGAGGAAGCTTGACATGATCCAGCTCAGCCACAAGGACGTCGGGTTCTACGCGGACAAGCACGTCCTCACCTCTCCGCCACTTCCTTCTTCCTCCTCGCTCTCCCCGACGTGGCTGAGGCAGTACGGGAAGAGAGGCGGGCTGGTGGGATTCGGCGGCTGCGGCGAGGCGGTGATGGTGTCGCCGGTGTCGCCGCTGGATCTGTTCGGGAGGGCGAGCCCGAGAACGCCGACGACCCCGGCATTGTTGTCGCCCCGTGAAGAAGAAAAAGCCGAGGAGAGAGCGATTGCAGAGAAAGGGTTTTACCTGCACCCGAGCACTCCGAGAAAAGCCGAGCCCGAGCTGCTGCCCCTCTTCCCTCTGCACTCTCCTAGAGACCAAGATCGTCAAGAGCGTCCCTGATAATTTTAAATCTTAGTTAGCTAACAAGAAACAAGATCTTTTATATTTTCTTCTTCTTCTTCTTCTTCTTCTTCTTTTTTGTCCTCTTTTGGTTCTTGATGCGTCTGGTGCTTATTAATTTTGATCTGGTTTTGCGAGTTTCATGAGGACCGATGTTGGTTGGCTTCGTCGGTCGCGTGACTAATTTGTACTGTACTGGTTGCTATTGATTGATTGTGTACTTTGTTCTTTTCCTCCACTTTGCGTATTTTCCCATTTTCCGAATTCTTGCTCATTGTTTTAGATTATTGAAGAACTGAAACTGCGACTTTTGCAGCAGCAAATGGCGTCAGAATTTTCTTGAGCACCATCAAAGTGAGGAAGTGACAACTCGATCTCTTTCTCCGCCCTCGCAGTGCCTTTTGGCGTGACGTCTGCGCACCATATTCTTTTTCTCTTTCGTCCTCTTGTTATTTTCTGGACGTGGAGATTATAATATATATTAACATGCACAAAAAAAGAAAAGGGCAAACATATACTGAATCTTCCCGGCTCAAGAATCGGGTTGAATCAGCTAAGACAGCGCAACTAAAGGGAAGCTAGCAAGTTGACTTGAGGGCTTAGTTTCGTTTTGAAATTGCCTGTGATGATGATGCATAAGTTGCATTTCCGTATGTATTGCTTCTTCAACATGAGATATACTGTTGTCGCGGATGTGGACACAGTGAGGCTGAGTTGCTGTTGGATTCAATGGCCATTAATAACGGGACTGAGTAATCTTGGCGCCCAGACAACGCCTAGGGTTTTTGTCCTCCTGTATTAGATTTTAGACATACTGGCCTGGACTATGAAAATTTATGGGAGTCAATTCGGTAGTGTGTGCCAGGAATTTAGCAGGCTGCGTGATGGGAAGTAGCTGTATCTCTTGTTCAAAAATGTCAAAAATTTACTTTCTTCAATTGTTTAACTTGATACTTACCCATTCCTAGTCGGAAAATACTGCGATAGTTAAATATTGCTTAGCAGAAAAAAAAGGCTGAAGAACATTCGTTACAAGGCGATTGTGATGTTTGGAATGGCTTTTACTTTTCATTCTTGCCCGCAAAATGACGCGAGTGGCAAGCGGCAAGACCGGCAAATGTGTGTGTAAAAAAAGTTAATATTCGATGACTTTATATTTGGTTAATTGTAGCAAACTTACTTCTTCTTAGATGAATAAATTAATATTTGTACAGCATTTTAAAGGAGGGTTTTGGGAATGAGTAATGTCGAATTTTGAAAATTTTAATTTCCAGCTGAATCATGAATGGATAATGTCAATTTTTATCTTTGCTCTACATCATATTTGAAAGTTGTATATTTCGTTTCTCAATTATTTCTTTCAATTACTGAAAATAAAAGTAATATTCTGAGACTTGAGAAATTATGACAAAATCATATTAGTTTTAAATTTTGATTTCAAGTTGGTAGATAGAGAATACATATAGGCGCGAGACAACTCTTTCGAAGTTTTGGAAGAAGGGTGCCTTCTCACAAAGAGGGTCATAGTGACAATATGTTGTTTCAAATGAATGAGTTCTTTGACATGCAGAATAAGGTCTACGAGGCTTTCTATTTTATGGCGGAAATCTCTCCACACCCAAGGAATCGAATCACGATGGATCAAATCCCATAAAAATTAAATTACAGAAGTCGCGAAATCTGAAAAGCCCTAAAAGTTAAAACTAGAGGGCAAACTTACATTGGTTTACAAATGGCCTTGGACATGGGATATGAGAGGGGTAATACTGGAGTTCGACTCACGAACCCTACAACAAAACTCCCGTTCGATTGAAACGTTATCACATGAAGGGACACAATTTGTTAGGCCGAATTGCTGAGTTGACAGAGAGACCTTGGTTATCCAGCTACGTCTCTTCCAGTGACTTGTGGAATTTGTGGGGTTTGCAAGTTCAAGCCAAGATGCTTTAACATATGATCGAGCCTTCCTTTGTCAATTACCGAAAAGAACAAGAAGGGAGCTTTCTCTTCGAATGGACCTTCGACATACAGGATGTTTCTTAATCTGAACGAGGGAAGCATCCACGCTACAGTAGAAAAGAGGGTGGTCTGCTGATGCAAGATGTACTGACGATGGTGTTTTCAGACAGTGGGTATTGTTGACTTTCGATTGTTGAAGGAGGAGAGATGGAGGATTTGCTTTGCCGGAAAGGACATGTAGAAAGCTTGTAGCCTTGAAGTAGCGCGGCAAGAGAGATGGTGCGCAATCTTATGAGGCAAGAAAGGGACATTTTTGCCTTGTACTCCGAGGATCTCGAATTCGATACTCCTAACACTTGTTTACGAATTTCACACGCTGCATACTCCAATCGTTTTATTAGCCTTCACGAGATGGACAGTGCTGAAACCTAGAAAAATATGACTTGCTTTTTCCCTTGACAACTTAATTTTAAAAAAAAGATAACGAATGCAAAATCCAGCTTTTAATAACTTTTAATAACGCAAATCCACTCTTTTCTCTTATTATTATGGCAAAATTGCGTTTTTTTTTCATTAAATAAAATATCGCCATATATTAGGAATTTTCTCTTCTTCTTTTTTTGCAAAAAAATATTGACACTTATTGAGAGTTTCGGTTCCTTATGCTTATATTCCTTTTCAACGTTTTTAGAAACCAAAAGTATTGATGCTTGTCTTTTCATTTTGAATCTCGTTGGCAATTTTCCAGGTCCAAACAGCAATTGGCACTTCAATGTTCTCTTTACCAATCGTGGCATCGTTTATGCAATTTGAACCCAATGATTTGCAGGTCTTTAAGAACATGAAATCCCACTTCGTGTTAGAGACTTTTCAATAAAGTGATGTCGAAATGGCAAGAGACGAATGCGAGTTTGGTTCTCTTTTGCACTTTTGAGCTCACTGGAGGATCATGATTTGAGCATCTGGTCGCTCAAATATTATTAGCAATCAAGAAACTTGGGACTAGGAGCATTTTGTTATAGGTGCACAGTAAGGGCATCAAAGCTAGAAGCTGACGAGGATGGAAGATGGAAGAATATATGATGCTTTATACACGTCACGAGTCACAAGTCGTATGCTTTTCTTTCTTTTCTTCCTTCGAATTGAGTAGATGACAATCGACATGTCTAAAGAATCCCAAAATATCAAAAAACTCATATGATTTCGTGATAGAGTGGAAAGGCAGTAATTTTCATTGTTGAGGAAGGGTAAGTGTCGCGGCATAAGTAATACCAAAAGCGACATGAAATAGATAGGGCACTAGAGGGGGAGTGGGTGATTGTCGTGAATTCGAATGCCATGTCGTAGGTGAAGAATGTCGAGTTACTTGGAATCGCTTGAAGTCAAGAAAAGCATATCGTAATGAATTGGTCTGTGCACCGAGTTCCCGAATTCCGAAAATACCAAAGTTGAGGAATCCTAAAGTTTAGAAAGTATTGAAGAGCCAACAGCCAAAAGTCTCCAAATGATTGAACTAATAGGGTATTGTAGATAGAGGACTAGGATGCTTCGCAGACAGGATGGTGCCATGCGTAGGGAAATTAGCAATTGATGGGTTGTCACTAGGAATGAAGATGATTCCAAGGTAGAACTTGAAATCTGAGAACCGGACATATGAGAATTTGTTCGATTCCAAGTTTTAAGGTATGCAGGGTAAGTTCCAGGTTCCAAAAATTAAAAAACATATTTTAATTGATAGGTTCCAAGTTTTAGGTAAGTAAAACCTAGAACCTGGAATAAGTTTTTGTGTTTTTCTTGATCTATATCTTTGCGTGATCCTACAGTATGACATAGCGTCCAACAGTGAGTGTATAATTTGGAACTACTAGTCTGAGCTTCCATTTTATGATGGAGACTTTTACTTTATTAATATTTCATATTTTTCGTGTGTTTAAATATAAATTGTAGACAGTGGATTGTAGTAGCAAGTATTGGTCATAAATGGTGATTTTAAACTATAATCATTCAATTAATAATATAAGTAGAACTTAGGTAAACTTTAGAACCGACTCTAGAACTTGTGACATGGTAGGTTCTAGGTTTCAAGGTATACATGGTAGGTTCCGGGTTCTAAAAAATTAAAAACCTATTCCAACATATAGGTTCCAAGTTTTAGAAGAAACCTATATGAAATTTGAAACTGTTCACTCCTAGTTGTCACGTGTCATGAGAACACATGACAAGGAAATGAATCAATGGCCATTTGCCATGCGTAAGGAGGTCATGTGCCAATGACAGCTTGCCGAGTGTTCGAAGGACACAGGCTAGAACTAAATCCACTAGAAATTGTTAGCGAATTGGCCAGATCATCCTTGACGAGCTTGCTTCAAACTCACCAAATCAAAGCTCTCCAAAAGTCAAACAACAATAACCTAGGATCCCACCCCAAATACTAATTGCATAGAGCAATGCTCTGTAAAGCAAGTTTGCAATGAGTCCCTAAGCAACAGACATTTGTTAGTAAATTCAAGAAATTATATCAAGAAATAAGGAAAAATGACATTAGAAATACCATAACTTTTGTGCGGCGCTCACTTTATCTTGGTTACTTAAGTGCCAAATTAAAAAAAACGATCATTTAATTACATTCGACGATAAATTACAGCCAAAAGCATATGTGGTATTTATAATTAGATATTAATATCCATGTGGATTCTTTTATAAATTACGTGGCTATTTTTATAAAATTTTTATTCTGACGTGGCTTTTCTATAAAAAGAATTTCTAACGTGGAATTGATGGTCTCTCTTTTTTCAACCTATTTTCTCTCTCCTCTTCCATTTGTAGCCATCATCACCAACCTTCACGCCTCCTCCAGCCGTCGCCGCATTATATTGGTGAAGTCGTTGGCCGACACTGCCGTAGGTCCAAGTTGAGCCGCCCCTCCGTTGTCCTTGTTGTCCATGACCGATGCCTCCAAATTAGGCCCATCCAAATTCCAAATCCGGAGCCATCGTCACTCATGGCCATGGCTCCAAATCTGGAAGCTTGGCTAGATTTGTATGGGTAATTTTCTCTTGCCACTGCAAGATAGACTGTGAGTGGTCGCTAAATACATTAATTCGCTCTCTTCTTCGTCATCGTCCTCTTCTTCTGGTCTCAGTTTCCGACGCTCCCACTGCTTTGTGGAAAATGCAATTGCGATTGATAAGTTTCTCCTTCGAGAGTGTTAGGCAATGGTGGCTTTATCTTCGCACAACCTCTCTCTAGCTCAGTTCACTTGCCACTGAACTCCCTGTT